CAATGGCTTTGGCTCTTTCTGTCTTAGTGCCACGCCTGAAGAAAACGAACCTTTCATCAGGCTCCTCTTGTATCTTTTTCCATCTTGCCTCCTTGGCAATCTTTTCCATTCTTTCTTTGTGTAACCTCTTCAACTCTACTAGGAGAACTCTGGGATTCTTTCCTTTCTTCTTCTGGTTAGTCGACTGGGGCCCAGTTGCCACCATATTAATACTCACCATCTCTGGGAAAGGATCACTGTCAACTGCTATCACACCTTTATCTTTCTCAACATACTTCAGCATGCCCTTTTGAATCAAATCCTCCACACAATTTTGAAATGTAACACAGTTGTTAGTGGAATGCCTAAAAGAATTGTGCCATTTACAGCACTCTTTTCTAATTCTATCTCTCTCTTTAGGAATACTATGGCCAGGAGTTAAAGTTAAAAATTTATTGGCCAACAACTCATCAAACAAGGCATCTGCCTGTGATAAGTCAAATGAATACTGCCGACTAGATGCAGTCACATTCCTTTTTGCTAGTTATGTTGATGGCATATCCACAGGTTTTTCAACCTTTTTAAAGTCTCACACACCATGGGTTTTTTGCAAATAACTTGTGCAGCATCAATATCTATATCAAAATCAAACCTAACTTCTTGGTAGTGAGTACCAAGTGAGGCTACCTTCCTTTGTTGTTCCTCCCTAAGAATCAACTCATAACTAGTTGCCCTAGAAGACAACTCATACAAGTCTCTAAACATCATTCCTTCAAATTTCTTTCTCAGTTCAAATCTAAACCATTTTGAGCCATTCTTATGACTTCTATCTTAGGAATATATACATAACATCTATTCTTTGCCCTCTTAAACCTGTCTATATATTGTTCTGTACTTTTCCCTTGCTTCTATTTAAATTTTGACAGGTCTACTAAAGAAACTTCAAGCTCAGTTCTAAAAAATTGAGCATGAAACTGACTCTCCATCTCTTGCCAAGTATGCACAAAATTTTTTGGCAAGTTGATGAATCAAGTGAATGCAATCTTAGACAATGAATTAGGGGATAATTTCATTTTCAAAAGGTCATTTTTCCCTACTTCTCCACATTGTAGAACAAATCTCCCTATATGTTCAATGGTTGATTGCTTCTTTTCTCATGTGAACAAGAAAAATTTAGGCACTCTAAAATTCCTTGGGAGAGGTATGTTATCCACATTTGGAGGCTATGGACTCCCAAACATAGGTCTGTCTGGCCTCCTTAAGCCTGGGATATACATTTCTTGAATTAAATTCATTATTTGTTGCTTATTGTTCATCTGAGGATCTAAGTATTGTTATTGTTGTCCTCCCTCTTGAACTTCTAGTTGGAAGTGAGAAAGAGGAGGAGCAGGCCCTCTAGGCCTTGGGTTCATCATGTTGGGTTCATAATATGGTTGTTGCATGGTATGGTCTTGCATATTCTGAGGCCTAACTTGATTAAATGGCATATTCCTTTGTTCTGCCATACCATGATAACCTGTTGCAGGTCTATCAAATGCATGATTATCATACATTTGTGGCCTTGGTTGCCTCCCAGGTCTTAGTCCCATGTCATTTGGGTTATAACTGAACACTGTGTTTGTAGGATAATCCCTCATTCCCGTGTATTCAAACACTGGATTTACAGTCATCCCCTCCTCATATCTTTTTTGAAGTGTGGGAGGTCTATAAAATGACACAAGTTCATTTACAGTTGTATGTTTTTTAGGGGTCATAGGGGTTATAGAATGCCTGAATTGTACTTTACTCGCCTAAGTCTCCTCCACAATTCTCCTTGACTGGTTAGGCTTGATATTAGCCTTCTCAAAAAAGGCTAGCAAGTCATCTACCATCACATGTTTCTCATGTGCATACAGGGAGCCAATTGCTTGCTGAATGTGAAGTAAAAGAGCCCTTCTTGGGTCAACAGGAGGACAACTAGACTAGCCAGTTAGGGCCACATTTTGGCCATTTCCTTGGCCTACTTCTTCTCCAGCCACTGAATGGTCATCATCTAAGTTGTCTCTTACTCCTTCGAGCCCACCATCAAGTTCTTCTTTGTCAACAACCCTCTTCTTAGGGTCTTCAAAGACCTCATGTTGTTTCTTCTTAGCCATCACTTCCAAATTAGACTGGTCCCAGTGGGTGCGCCAAAATATGTTAGCAAAATCTGGTTTGGGTCAAATCGACAAGAAAAAGTAGACAGAGAAAACCAATTTTCACAAACAGAAATTCAATCAGGCAATGTTGTTGTTGTCCTATGCCTTGACAGTTTCAAAGACTTATTTGGAGGTTGCAATGTGAAGAAACAAGTGCAAATAAACTAAAATTCGATTGAAGAGCATGTAAACTTGTCACTTAATTACAACAATTAAATTACAAGTTCAAAAGGCACAACAACCGATAGAGCCATACTAGGTTACAAAGACCGAATTACAGACAGACTACTCCTAAATACAAGAACTACTCATAATTAAGTTATGCTACTCCTAATTCCACATGAGTTGTAAATTTTGTTGAAGATCTTTTCTCCTTTGAATTCCCAGCTTTTATATGGCTTCCAATGGCTATGTTGTGCTACCACATGTCCATTTCCTAGGCTCCTATAACTGCCCATTAACTGCAACTGCTGCAATTGCCTTTGCATTTTCCCTCCTCCTGCAACTACCATGTATTGAACCCTCATTCCTCTTTCTTAGGCCACTAACTTTACTTTCTTTATTCTTGGTTCTCTTCTGTACGTGTTTATGCCTCTGTTGATAGAGAATTATAAGTTTTGGTGCCAACAGTGTGGCTTTTCATCAATTTCTAGCGGGGGGTGTGTGTGTGTGTATGAGAGACAGAGAGAGAGAGAGAGAGAGTATCTTTTCTGCATTAGAACTGGGAAAATTTGCTTGATGTATAGATGGTTCATCATAAAAGTAATTTTCCTTTGTTTCTTAATGTTATCCAATGTAGAAATTTACAAATTGATCATATTTGTATAAATGTTTTTGGAAGTTTATGACTGTAGATCAAATGCATCACATAGTAATAAATATCACAGACATGCAAGAGATGTTCAACTATTTAAATTCTCTAGGCCGAAATGTGTTTGGAGGCAAAACTTTCAGATTGGATAATCTAGCAATTCAATCTACCAATGGGCTACTTGATTTGAGAAGGCAAGTGTGCTCATCTATTTGGAGTGTGATGCAAATCACTTTTGTAATCCTTTGTTATTGATTGACTGAATTTATTTTCCAAATTCTTGATTGCTAATTCTTGAATTACATAGTGAAGTCAGTAACTCAATGTCACTAGATAGTTAGTGATAATGAACTTCTAAATAGTGAAGTCAAATTTCTCCTCGTTGCTTCCTTCCAATATTAACATATACTAGGATAGAGATTACGTTAATTATGTTCATTTTTAATTTTTTTAGTTTATTCATTAATCTGATTGGATTGGGTGACCATTTTCTTGTCTATTTATTTGTGCAAATTATGAATTGGCATTTATATTTTTGTAATTTACTCCAACCAAAAGAATTTAGAGAATGACCTCTTTTTTTTTCTTTTGACAATTTCTTTTGAAATAGTTTTATTTGATTATTTCAAGTTAAACTAACACATTAAAGTGCATTAAATTTTCAATTCTAGTTTGATATATGTTTTTGTAGGTTTTGTAGAAGTAGTAGTTGATATGATCGAGCGGGTGATGTTGGGACCGAAACCAAGAATTTATTTATTTATTTATTTATTATTATTATTTTTTTTAAGACTTGAATCTTTTAGTACGATGTATTTTAAGCATGATTGATGAATATTTGTTTTGCATGTATGAAAGTTTATATTTTATTTGCATACATATGTGTGTGTGTGTGTGTGTGTGTGAATATAGGTTAATATTTCTATTATAAATTTAATTAATTTGTTAATTTGTTATCTTTCATTAAAAAAAAATTGTTAGATGCTTGCAATTGATTTTTTTTGTTGTAGCAATCGTATATATGATTTTTATAATAAATATTTATTTGCGACAATAAAAAAAATGGTCACTATTTTTATTTATTTATTTATTTATTTTGCCACCACAAAATAGCTATCGTAAAAAGTATTTTTGGCAGTCACAAATAACTTGTGACCTTTGCTTTACCGTCGCAAAAAGTATTTGCTACCCCTACATTTGTGTCCCTCTTTTGCGGTCGCATGGGCCATCGCAAAAGGTCTTTTGTGACTATATTTTTATTATTTGCGACGACTTGTGGTGGTCACAAAAAATACTTTTTCTAGTTGTGTGATCATATGGTTACAAATGTCCGATTAACTTAATTTTTTATATGAATATTCTCCTCAACAAACCATACAATATGAACGGTTCCGATCATCAAAGCTGGCTTGGATCAACCTCCATAAAGAGTCATAACAGGCACAGTAGCATCCCCATGATATGATGGGTGTTATTTACTAAATCTACAAATTGAATTGAAGCAATAATGAGACATTGGAAATTAATAAATGACGTCAATGATATGATGGGTGTTATTGCATTAGTAAATAAGAAAATTTTGTAAGATTTATTAGCTTGTATTGCATTAGTCATAAATAGAAGTTTTTACATTCATTCAAATATCCAAAGGCTGACTTGGAAGGGTTAGATTTGCTTCTAAAACAAGACAATCTTAACTGTAAATTAAATTTTGGTAGCCATAAGTATTTAACGTCAAGATCGCAAGCCAACTATGGTCAGCTCAAAACCGAAGCTCCTATTTGTGATTGCGTTCTTCAACGGCCATGAGAGAGCATTTTTATCTCTATAGGAAGAGAGATAGGGAGAGGGAGAGAGCGATAAAGAGTGTCATGGGTTTGAAAAAGTATTTTTATGTTTTCATTCTTTAGGATTTTTTACGTTTTTAATAATATCTAAATCTATCTTGTTAAGAGTTTTTTTTTTTTTTTTTTTTGAAATTTTCAAAGAGAAAGTGAGAAGTAGAGAGAGAAAGAAAAAAAAAAAGGTAGGGAATGTGGAATCCGAGGGGCAATGAAGAAAAGTTGGTAGCAGTTGCAATAGATAAGGATAAAAGGAGCCAAAATGCTTTGAAATGGGCTCTTGATCATGTTCTCGCCAAAGGCCAAACTGTGAGATTGATCCATGTTGATCAACCACAATTACCCATTGCCACCCCTTGTAAGTCTCGCAATCTCTCTATATTATATTTCTTCCCATCATAGTGCAATAAAAATTACAAATGTATGGAGGAAAATGAGTTCATGGTAATGGATTTTGTATGGCAATTTTTAATTTACATGGATGATATCGACAATAACTAATATGTGTACATACACATACATAGGTCAAGAAACAATTGATATAAAAGTAAACACATTATGAAACACCAATAATCTCCATTTCATACACAATGGAATAAAAGGCAAGAGTGAATTTATTTGTGCACTACATGGTGACTAAATAAAGCTCATTAAGATTCTTGAATTCAAATAATAATGTTATGTCGATGCCTTGTCCTAGAAATGGATCAAGATCTTTTGATTCATAGTTATAAATTTGATTTATGCCTTACCCAAAAGATTCATAGTTATAAATTTGACCTCAATTGTATTAACAATACTTTTGTACATTTTGACATGTTTTAACTAAATCTCTCTTTTGAGTGCAGTGGGTGTGGGTAACAACGATGGAGCAACTAGAAATGAACCTAATGACCTTTCCTCAGACTTGTTTCTTTCTTTCCGTTGCTTTTGCTCACGAAGAGAAGTAAGCTCATGTTCTTGTTCAATCCTTCCTCCAATTTCTGTCTTTCTTTCTTTCTAAGAAAATGGACAAATATTTATATTAAAAGATCAAACTAATCATATATTTAAGCATACATTGTGCTAAAAATTCAAAATTCAAAATTAAAAAAAAAAACAAAAAAGAAGTTATAGTTGAGCTTGAGATTTAATTTCTTCTTCTTCTTCTTCTTCTTATTTGTTTTATTGGGTTAGATATATCTTTTCTTCTTGGCATTTTGAGTCAGGTACTGTGGGAAGCTGTGACACTCGATGAACAAGATATAACTAAAGCACTAATCGATTATATTTCCTTTAATAGAGTTGATACTTTGGTTCTTGGTGCTCCATCAAGAAATGGCATTTCCAGGTAACTCTTATATATATATATATATATATTACCCACACACACACACATATAAAATCAAAGTCCTTAAAATGAAATCTACTGCTACTGTGCCAAAATTTTCCATTATGATAAATGGTCTGATCCAAAAATCTCTATAACGTTACATGTACTTGTAAATAGACACTTGATGCAGCTAGCTAAATTATATCATTTTTCCATAGATTGTTCAAGACTGATATTCCAAGCATTGTATTGAAAGGGGCACCATATTTCTGTAGTGTCTATGTCATCTCAAAAGGAAAGATTGCTTCCATGCGTGTTGCTTCACATCCACTCCCATGCCTTTCAACTACAGATAGGTCAAGATCTGTACCCAACCGTAATTCTAATGATGAAACAGATTTCGTGTAAGTTTATCAAACTATACATTCAAAGAAAAAGTGAGGCCTATAGTTGAATTTCCTTTTACATCCATAGGGACTAGTACTTCTAATGATTTAATTAATTGTAATTTTCTTCAAATTTTCACCTTCATTTATTTAGTAATTCAATATCCACTAACGCAACTTAAATTGCTTCCATCTAAGTTAATGCTACAAGTCTACAATAATTTGTCCATATAAAATATATCTTTTGCTCATTAAAATGAAGGATGCCTATCAGCCCTGTCCACCCATATGGTAACATTTTCCATGCAACACAAATCACAAAATTTTAATATTATCATGAACAACTAATTGCTATGCTAATCTTATACTACAACATAGATTTGTTAACATATGACATGCTTCGTTTTAAAACTTTGCACCTGAGAACACCAATATGGCTACATGTTTACAATTTACAGAATTCATGAATAATTTATATTATGCTTTTAAATTTTTGATGACTATTAGTGTTGATTGTGCTATAAATTCTATAACAATTTACAAATATATTTTCCAATTTTTGGAACAATTTTGTTATCAAATATGCTTCCATGTGTCATGAGGACTATTGATGTTCATTATGTTGGAATTTCTACAGAGGTAGAGCAACAAACACCAAATTGCACGATGAGTTCACAATTCCAGAAACTGACATCTCTTATGTAAGTTCTGGAAGGCTAAGCACTGATAGCACATTCTTTGCATTTTATGATAATCTTGGATCTGAACTATCTCAACGGCCTCCATGGAGCAAGAGTATGGAGAGCAGAAACTTTGATCCATTAAGCTCGGGGTCTAAGTTTTCAGATTTAGACTCTTCCGCGATGAATTGTCACCAACGGATAAGGAAAGTAGAAGAACATTATGCTTGCCACAAAACAATGTGAGTATTCTTTTTTCTTCGCTAAAAGATGTATTATAATGGTAATAGAACATTATGAGAAAAAGGAGGGAAGAAAAGAACACTACAAAAAGTGGCACAAACAAGCTTTAAAAGCAAAACAAAAAGATACAAATAGAATAAACAATTACAATATCACTAGGTTGAGAAAAATAAACCAACACAAACAATTCAATATCCGTGAGACAACATAATTCACCCTACTGAATGGATACAAAAACAATCAAAGTACACGCAATAATGCTATCAATAGCTCAACTTAAACCCTTGTGGACAACCTGGTTCTTAGCAAAAACCTCTTGGACCACTCAACTCAAATGTCACATATGTAGTTCTAGATATAAAACAAAGGTTGTGCTAATTCCATCACAATGAATCAAAACTCACCTAACTTTAATCAACAAAAATCATGCATGTTACAAACCATTCATCACCCCACCTCCTTCTTTAATTTGCCAATTTTCAACTTTCTCAGGACTTCATTAATCAAATATGTAATAATTAAGTCATATATATATATATATATATATTTAACCAAAGAAGCCACCATTGATTTAATCAAATACCAACTTATCTTTCCTAGCTGTAGTATTATGAAAAGCTGAACATAGCACGACAAAGGGAATAGTTTCCCAAATAACTCTCTTAAGATCTTTGTAAGAGTTTCCAAGCCACCACAACAATAACTGTAAAAAGGATGTGTCCCTACCCATTAGACTATCCACCATTATAAGCAATTAATCCATACCCTACATGCAATGATACAATGAAACAAAACATGTAGAATAGATTCCTCGACCTCTTGACAAAAAGGGCACAAAATATTACACGATAGTATGTTGTTTTCAGCAAGAATGTCATTTGCAACAATCTTACTTTGGATAGCTTTCCAACATAAATTTCAATCAGAATTGGACGTTAGCTCTTCCG